AGGCATACGCAATGAACACTAGTTTTTGTCAGCCGATTTCAGCAAATGGTACGTACCTTAGAGTGTGAAAGTTTGCAATGTTCGGGTGTCGGAGGAACCTCGGGGCGTCCTCCCTAGTTTAGGCCGCGCCCGAACATTTTGTATGAGAACCGTGGAGTGTGTGTTTGAGAGAATGCCTTTTGTTATTTTTTAAATATAGGATTAGGTAGGTAGGTAACTTACTTTCTGGCGTGTGTGTTTAGACATAAGTAGGTAGGGTCAGGGGAGGGCTATTACAGGCCCTGTACCTGTAGTTCGATTTGAAGAATCGAAACGTTAGCCGATCCAAACGGATTGTACCGTTTGTTTTGGTTTTACTTTCGATTCTTGGAATCGCGCGACTTTACAGTCGCTCTTCGCGTTCGCGTTCGTTCGCGGTAGGTTCCCCGAAACGTTCGTCCCGCTCGAGTTTTTCCACACCTGTTCCGATAACGATTCGCAAAATCCTTGGAGGACTGTGTATTGCACGGAATCTCGAGCGTAGGTTTAAGTTTCAGGCTTTGGCAGGACCGTCGAAGAAAGAAGAGACTCGATGGAGTCGAAGAGGCCCTGACAAATTGTCTCAAGAGTGGGCTGCAACAAATGGCTCTTCATCTTTATCTTCGAATAAGGATGGAAAGTCATTTTCTGTTACTACTTTGTCACTGTATTTGTGTGTAGTTGTAGTACTTGTAGTAGTTATTTGTAGTTTTTCAGATGGTACTTGTACCACCACAACCAGCATTTCGGGGCAAATCGCGGTTTGCATTAGTGTTGCGATATACGAATGATCGTGTTTCGTTTGAAGATAGCATTGCGAATAATTTGAACTTATCGCGATTACTTTTAGCGTTGCGAACGAGGAATATTTTCGCGTTTGCTTTCAGAGTAGTGTCGCGAGTAAGAATTTGTTAACGGTTTGCTATTAGCGTTGCGAAGAATTAATGTTATTCGCGTTGTTTGTCTAGATTATTTTGCAAATAATTAGTTTTATAGTTAACTTTAGCGTTGCGAACGATTTTTCGTGTTTGCATTTCAGAGTAGCGTTGCGTGTAAACATCAATCTCGGTTTGCAGTAGCGTTGCGAAATATGAATACTAAACGCGTTGCAATTTGCCAATGATTTGAATTTTATCGCGATTGGCTTTAGTGTTGCGATTGTTTTTTTCGCGTTCGCTTTTCAGAGTAGTCTTCAGAAATCACGAATCAACTGTGTTGGCTGAATCAGGTGTGTATCTCCGCAACCTGTGACATGTGTACTGGATCATTATAGATAGCGATGCTCTTCATTTATGTAATACGAATGCACAAGGCTGCTCTTTTTCATTTTGTATCTTATAAATTGGTGTTAGGATATGAAGAATGTTCCACTTAGGGTTTGTTTTGTATTTATTACAAGGAGTCGACAGTTGTTCTTTTTCGTATTTTTACTGTTGAATACTACATTTCAAACCTGAAATAATATATGTTTCTGTTTTCACAATGTTGAAGTTAAATCGTACAATTTTTATGAATTATACAATTTTGTTACGCAGTTGATGTATTTAGAAATTGGTGCTATGTGAATGTCGATGATAATGATGATGATAAATTTAATTAACTATTGGAATTTCTACAATTTTGACTCGCGATTCCTCAATTCTACAGTCTTTTCCCTAACACATTGATTCTAGTATGATAGTGAGCTTGAATCATGAAAGTCCATAAGTAGTTGTGTACCTCGTCTATGGCAGAACATACACATTTTATCTTATGGGACTTGATATTATACGAACTGAAGTATCGAGCTCGTAAGAAATCAATGATTTCAGAGCAGCCTCTTCCTCTAAAGAACGGTGACTCCGGGAACTATATCTAAACGTTTATTTAGTAAAATAGTAAATGCAACATTTGTTTAGTAAAATAGTAGATGTCCTAAATATATCTGGATGCAAACTCTGTCATGATTTATTTCTACGTGGGATTTCGTTTGGTTCGTAAACAGTATCTTTTGCAATAATTAAACGACGGCTACGAAATCGTTTATAACAAATTGCACACGTCGCGTCGTATATTTTGCAACGGGAAAATAAATAATTCTTGTCTCATCGGCCTAAATCTTATTAAATCTGGCCGACGGCCCAAAGGCACGGGTATCAATGTCAGTTTCAACGATCAAGTGTACTATGAAAGCCTAGACCCTAGGAAAAGGTAAATAAACAGAAATAAGTCCTTTCGATGTAGGCGCTATGTGTCACGACGTTAAATATATTTAATACATACGAGGTTACATTTGAAACTATTCGTAGTACGTTTTATGATATTCGATAACATATCTGTTTGCAGTTAGAATAACTGATGCAAAACGATTAGAAACCAAGGGTCAATAGATAATTTGTATGTTCAAAATTATAAAATATTTCTTGTTTTAATGATATACCTTATATATTGCTATTCTTATGTATTCTATTAAATTTAAATACTGGAAAAGAATTTTTATTGATTTTCCAGAGCTGGTTAAATATCAATTCAGGCTGTATTAGTATCATTCTATCGATTGACCAGCTTGCTCGAAAAGACGACTGTTATAAAAGTTTATGTTTTCTGAATGATGGTCAATTATAACATTCTCGTGTGTTATTTTATAAAGGAATCCCTAGATATCAGCACTGTTTTCTATATGCCCGTTGTTGTAAAGAAATATTTAATATTTTGGTTTCCTTGTCCATCACATTATATTGTATCATGAGATTATCTTAAAGACATGTTTTTATATGAATTTTAAGACTTCTGAAGTTGTCTGAAAACGGAATCAGGGGGAACGTAGATTCATGGTGATTGTTTTACTATTATTTGTTAAAATAATGTACTAAATATAATTACAAAACTTCATTTTGTAATTCGCTACTAGGACATCAATAATAGTTCTCTTAAACTTTAGTAATGCACGTGTTATGCACTGGATTATGTTTTGTTTGCGTAGTTTATCGTAGAGGAAGCAAGTGATGATTTACGATGGCTCTGATACAATTTAAGAATCATAATACATTTAAACATTAAAACATTCTACGATGAATCGATCTGCATTAAAAAAGACGTGTGAAGTAACAAAGTTATATTTTCAAAAGCTACATAATTATGATAAAAAATTACATCGACCCGTACCTAGTCCTTTAAAACGTTCCTAGCTTGCGAAAGAAAGTATCGTCCGCAGAATTTTTTGGTTCACACCTCTCGTTTCTTATTTTATACATTCCCAGATAGATTCTGCTTCTGTATGGTAAAAATAAAGAAAAATTGAGAAGGTATGATTTGAGCGATCGGTATGCATTAGGCAACCATTCTCTGCCAAGATCGCTTGAGAATACTGTGGCTGTACCTAAATTTGCACTTCGAAAGCTGAACAAACAGACGTAAGGTGCCTTACGGGCGGCAGGATATTTCTGGCAAGATCGCGAACGCGGATATATCGGCTTATAGTTATCGAAAGGGTTAATATAATGGTATCACGTGTGATCGCGAAGTTAGTGGCTTCGACTGTTGATTGTTTTCACTGGTCAGCTCCTCCCCTACTGCCGTTTATTTTTGACGATTAGGTCAGTGGTTCGCCTCTAATGTCGAAGCTCTGTTCGATTGGCTAAGGAGGTCACTCAGCTCCGCGTCTCGTCCTCAGAGGCGGCTGCCAGCCGAGAGTTTTTGCACGTGCGAGCGACTGGCAAACCACTGCAATTCTCTAAAAGGACGCAATGCCAATATCAAACTGCTGTACTGTTGGATCCGCCGCAATCAGTATAACCGTTTTCACGCTCGCCCGCCGCGTGCAGTGGAAATGACCGGCTATACGCGGAGACGCGTCACTGGCTTTTTACGGACGCTGCCAATCGCAGTTCCGGATTTGCGTGAGCTTGACATTGCCTGATGATGCAACTCGCGACACAACTCGTTCCCATTTCCCACTTTGCAGCAAAGCGGTCTACCGATCTCCGACCCCGGCATGATGCAATTGTCATTCCATATTGGTTTTCACGGTCTTCGTTTCCAGTAAATCGACGTGCTGTCGTCGCGCCACAAACGCTTGCCCCAAGTCGTATATTAATTATGCTTCTAAGTATCACACTGATCCTTCGATATTATGTTCTTTAACGCGTCGATTGTTAGACCAAACCCCTCAAATTGTCCAGAAAAACGAAACTTTCTTTTTAGACATTTGGAAACTAGCATATCTACAATTTGTCATGGAAATTATTTTTACAGTCTCGATAAAATTCAAGATACCTATCTAGATTTATTTTCTTCAACTTCTAACCTTGGGAATTAATTTTTTCAGTCAAAGAGACTATCGCGTTCTTGACGGTTCGACTTCGAGTTTCAGACTACCGTGCACCCCCATTGTTTATGTTATTAAGGGACGATGTACAGATTTTGTACAGGATTAAGATCTTGATTTAAATATTAACGGATACATTGTACCTGTCAGGATACAATGTCAACACAGTATCTAATGTACCAAACATGTTTCTGTATTCTGATAATTCTTAACATATTCACTATCACACTTTGCATATGTGTGCGATGTCGCATCGTTCAAAATATTCAATTAGTCTATTTAATACGTTTCATTTTTTTTTTCTTTTCACATTAGACAAATTTTATCCATACCTGATTGCACAATAATCGAACCACGACTACATTAATACGATTGACGAATAAATTATTCGATTCGTGACACGAATATAGAATGGGAATCTTACTCGAGTGTTATTTATTTATTTATTCGATAACACACTCTGTAATACATACACAGAGCAGTTATAAGATTGGGTGGATACTCTAAATAAAAATTCATACGAATATGACTATGTGTAAGATGTTGTATAGTAAAACAGAATCGTCGATCGAAACGTAGAAAACAGTATCGACCATTCAGTTCTTGCGACAACGGAACGAGGGTTTCGTAAAGTGTGTACCATGAAAGGGTCCCGATTAAGAATCTTTTTATAGTGCCTGCGAGATGACAAATGATTGGCGATTACATGTCGACGCTAATAAGAATGCAGGGTTGCGTCTATGCAGCTCTACTAATTAGTTTACTAAGCCTCAGTGTGACATTTTCATCGGTACAGTAAGTTGTTACGAACCGATTGCTCCGACGGGAACTGTTAAAGTTTATTTGCCGTGATATTGTGATTAGTTCGAACGAAAACATTTGTTAATATCGCAATGGTAATTATCCCCCATACTCGATACTCGAAGCGCAGAAAACGGTCTCGCGCGAAACACCGAATTCTGCAAAGTGTTAAAGTAAATTCAGTGCTTCACGGATACATGAAAAAGTCGTTTTATTCGAACACGTAATTATGTAAAATGATAAATAATTAAGATCCTTCCAAGTCAATGCAGGAATATACTGTATTCCTTCGGCGCTTCTATCGAACGATGTTATTCGTGTTTCATTAAAAGTGGATTGACGCTAGAACTAACGACAGTTATGGTGTATTTATTTGCACCAAAGAAATTAAAACGATAGATACTTGAAGAAAAAATCCAGTCGAGTAAATTGTAACAAATTTTATGAGAAATTACGAATGGGTCATTTTGACCACTTCGCTAGTTCTAGTGTTGATACGTACGATCGAAATGAAATAACGTTTGACTCGTCTTTTGCAGGATGACATTCAGCTGAGCAAAGACCAAATTGGGCGTGAGTACTCACTGTACAGTAGATTATTCTGCACCATTATGATTTCCTGTATCAATAAAACTAGAATTAGGAGAGACCTGCCCAAAGTAGGTATCCTAATTGCAAACAGTGAAACGAAACGCTTATCCATAAAATATGAAGTCGTTATTTATTTTACCGAACTTATTCTGTAATAAAGTTTCCAAAATGAGCAACAAAAATTACATTTTTGGCCGATAAGGGTGTGTATTAAGGGTGAGGGCTAAAGTTTGTGGACCAGACGGGTAAACTAGATGCTCGACAGAACTCTTGACAACTAAAATTAATAATTATTGAAATTGTTGCTTACAAACTACAACAAAGAACTCGAAATCTTAGATTTTATGTTTGATAAATATCATGTAAAATGGCCCAACGTCTCTATACGAGAAATAGACTTCTACAGAAGACTAAATATAATCCAATTTTCTGTTAGAATATCCACATAAGACTCCGTGCATATCAAACATTTCTTTTTGTATTTGGTGATCATTTGCAAGAAAAATATCAACGTTCAATATAGATTTAGTTTTTGCTTATACTAAAACATTTCGATAGTACATGTTTATGAAGGACTTGTAAACGTCAGAAAAATATACATGCATGTCATTTATCATATCCAACATAATTTAGAATAATTAAAAAGACATTTGAATATTTGACAGCGTACTATATTTAAATTATACAGTAATGTTTCGCTTTTAAACCAGTTAGGGGTTCTTAACAGTACTATCCTTGCTACTATTTATATTTTAACCTGAAGCACCACATGAAATTTGACTGTTTTAATTTGATACTTTTTCACAAAAGTGGGCACTCGTTTCAGACGCTATAGTAACTTTGAACGGGTCTCTCCTAACATTATACTCTCGTTTGTCTAAGAAGAAAAGCTTTTCAATTAATTTTTCACGCCTAGAATTGAAGATGGGTTTCGATGCTTTCGATCCCGATAAAAAGGAGTCCATCAAAACCGACATGGCCGGCACCATTCTGTCGATGATGGGAATGAAGATCCCGTCAGAGCAATTGAACAACGTCATTTCTGAATTCGACCCGTTCGGTATGCCAGAACAAGCCCTACAGAGTTTCGAGAACATTTTAGTTTAGGAAGAAATCGTCATAGAATCCTGCGAGATTTCGTGCTTTCCAGGATCCGGAGAACTAAATTTCCACGAGTTCTGCGGTCTAGCTTCCCGGTTCATGGAAGAGGACACCGACACCGAGGCGATGCAGCAAGAACTAAGAGAAGCTTTCCGTCTGTACGATAAGGAAGGGAACGGTTACATCACCACCGAAGTGTTCAGAGACATTCTTCACGAATTGGACGACGCACTGTCCCCGGAGGAACTAGACATGATCATCGAGGAGGTGGACACTGATGGATCTGGCACACTCGATTTCGAAGGTACGCGCGTTGTTGTCGATCGAACCGATCGATCGTTTTCGTTGGATATCCACGAGATACAGAAACCTACGGATTCGCGTTGCAGAATTCATGGAGGTCATGACAGGCTAAATTATCAACTTGGCACGAAGCGGCGGTCCCTCGTGTCGGCCACGTCCACGAGCAACGGAGCCGCCCGTTTCACACGTGGAGACTGCAATTTATTGAAGATGCATGTACGTGTCGTTGGCAAAGTATGAAGTTAAAGGTTCGTAGGTGATTTCTGCTAGGGAGGCGAACGAGCAACGTGGATATAGCTGAGAATGTATTTTTGCCGGTCCGTCGCTTTTGGAATCACAATCGGCTAAAATGTATTTCTATCTATGCCGTAATTAACTTATACTCGATATTCTAGATAATATTGTTCCCAGAAACTGGTTTATATCGATCGATATAGATTTACGTTTCCACGTTACGATTGTTTTCTTTCCTCGAACTTATCTCTTCCTGGTTCGCGCAAAATTCAGTACTATGGTGAATTCTGCTCGAGCTCGAATATCTGTTAAAATAGAAGAGATATTTTCTGATTGAAAATGTGAATCATCGTAATTGTAAATATCATGCTTTGCCGACGACGTATGCAATCGTTTGTAACAGTGATAATACTCGTAAGAAATTATATTGTAAAATAACTGTGACCACGATACGATCAACGTGACTTAATGTCAACAAAAAAGTAATAAAGTGTAAAAAAAAATAGCAAAACCAGTTTGTGTACGTTATTGCGTATATCCACCCTTTAATTCTTTATATATGATTCCATTAATAGCAAATATCATGTAAAGAAATGTACAAAATTAATTTAAATATAATCTGCTGTGTGTATATTATTTATCCTTAAAATATTACACATAAACTCCTTTGCGCTTTCATTTCCACACCATTTACTTTGTCCAATATCTTTTGAGTGTAAATATAATAACTCAACAATGAGTTAAACATGTAACAAGAAATAGTTTTATATTAAATTGCTTGAATTAAGAAATGAAGAAATAGTAAATAAAGCGGTTCAATTAATTTAAAAAAAATTTCAAACTGCTTTTGTACCTGCTAAAGTTATATTTGTACTCAAGTTACCTACAATTTTTATTATATTACTCAGAATTAGTAAATAATATTTTCACGATGGAATAAGTATCTATAGTATAGCTATAACTTTCAATGAAGAGTTACATGCACTTCAAAGACAACACGTGTTATCATATTAAAAACACGTAAAATAATACTACAATCTACGAATCATCGTTGTATAGATTCTAGATTCTAATGGGTGGTAGCTATTCAGCAGAAAGTTAACAATACGTTGTAAGAAAGGACAACGTGCAATATATCGTAATGAATTTTAATATCTCCTAGATATAATAGCTGGTGCTAGATTTTATGAGCTTATAATTAGCTACCTAAGAATACAACAGACGCGATTATTACGCCGTATTGTCTTAAGCCGCGGCTTTACGTCCGGCGACGAGCCAACTTCGCCTATTGTCGCACTGTATTCATCGCCATATTGATTGTGAATCATATTGCACCCCGGAAGTTTCGGAAACGACCCAATTAAACGATGTTTGCAAAATGGAATTTTTTACGAAAGTAAAGATTTATTAGAGATGAAACATTTTACTTGTAATTACACTGCAGCTCTAAAATATATCGATAAAATTTTCATTTTTTCGAAATTGATGAAGATAGATTATCGAGAATTTAACATTCTTAATGTTTTAGTGATAGTGTCAATAAAATTATGTATACGTAAAGATAGTTTCGATTATTTTTAAAATCGAAAGGCGCGGCAAACTTTTTAACAGCAGCGTATATAGCAATCACTCGATGATGTAACTTTCCGTCGAATAAATTCCAAATAATAGACACACGCTTTACGAAACTGAATTAAAATTAAAGTTTATTGGAGGGAGAAATTAGAAGATTTACTTACACAACTATTGCGTCACGTAAAAGAAACGTAAGTTACGTTATCATTATATGCGTGTGCTCGCAAATTGTATAGCAATTCGTACGCGTACTTAAATAATTGAATTTCCTAATGGTTATCTGTCACGAAAGGCCTATTAGATCATCATTTCTAACGAATAAGTACCTATTTACTCGATACATAATGGCAAGAATAAATTTCACCGAATGAAATCTTTAAATTTAATACATTAGGTAACATTGTATGGTGTAGAATATTAAACCTTCTAAAGAATTTAAAAAGGTTTGCGTTTGTATTAATAATTCCGTTTATAAAGTTTCGTTCTATCAGATTTACTGCGGGGAATGTCTCGGTTGTTGAGTAAACGGAATTCGAGGTACTCGCAGGGTATAGCTTACAGTTTGAAAAATGGCATTTCAGTCAACGTCGAATCGGTTCGAGAGAGAAAAGACGAGGATGCCAACAGGAAGAGTTTTAAAATCGAGTACGTTGCCTCTGAGCTCGTACAATTGAAGCTCCGCGTCTGCGGAAACTGGGTGGGGAGTGTCCTCGATGAATTTGAAAACCACTAGAGTTCCTAGGTTGTAGATATTACCCGGTCAATCACGTGCCAGAAGATCATCGTAATGTCCACATAAAACAGAAGCCCACAGCCAGAATCCGGTGCATACCCGGATAAGACGTCGACGCTGTCGTGTGCTAACGTCAAACTTTTCTGTAAACACCTAACACTACTCCACCATGGTACGTTGCAAGTAACAGTACAACGTAAACATCGTTAACAATTTATATTAATTATAATTTATATATATCGTTATATTTATAATACTTTGTAACAAATAAGTAAATATTAAATTTTCAAATCTCGATTATTTGTAATTTGTAAATAGAGTTTTAATATTAAAGTTATTTCCGATTATTTTGCGTTTCGTTTTCACGTGTGAAATAGAAACTTGCAGGTGCCACTAATTTTACTTTCGATGGTTTCAGGATGACCTGACCAAGGATCAAGTTGCTCGTGAGTAATTCAGTTCGATTTCTCTTGAATATAGAATTTACATTATTATCTATCGCGTATGCTTTCGTTGTAGTCTTGAAGAAGGCGTTCGACGCCTTCGATCACGATAAGAAAGGCAGCATCGGCACAGATATGGTGGGCACCATATTGACCATGTTGGGTTACGAGCTCAGCGAGAAGACGCTGAAGGAAATCATTCAGGAAGTGGACGAAGATGGTAAGAAAATGGCCCCGTTCGCGCTTAACTCGAAGGAAAAGAGAACCACGTACTACGATTCTTGTGTTAAAATATCGCGAGTGCAGTGATGTTTACAAACCTGGATGACACATTGTGAGAAATTTAAATTGCATTTATTCGAAAAAATTCTGAAATTTTAAAGCAGCAGTTCAAACAATTTTTAGCATGATACAAGTATACTTTGCTTTTTAAATTTTTTAAAAAACATACTGCGATCATTAAAAGTTATAGTGGTACTTGTTGAGATAATGTTTTGAGAATTGAAGTTTTCAACGATGAATCGGTAAGTTAATTTAATAGTGTAAATAAATCGTACAGGAAGATGTCCATTCTGTGAACGTGTAACATTTTTTGTGCATATTTACTTTAACAAAAATACGCGTAGACTTATAAAATAGCGTCGTACAATAACTGACAACATTTCAGGTATTAAATTTAGAATGAAATAATCGTGTATAGACCGAAGGCCTCAATCGATCAGTGCAGTCTTCTATTAATAGGTAAAAGATCTGGATTCTAATTCTGGTCTAACAAAACCATTCACCGTTCTCTTTATAATTCAAGAGGAAACCTTGGTCTCGCGCAAGCAAAATTTTAGTAACGCTTTGACTATGTCTGAATAATTCTCAGATCTAAAAAGATTACAATTTAAATAAAAATATAATATGATAAAGAAAAAATTATGGAATATCGAATCAAGCTTTAAATTTACACACAATATTTCTCTTCTTTTTCTGTCACTTCTGATTTCGTGATTCAGATGTTTCATTTGTTATTTTCTTAACTATAAATTTCAAACAATTATATTTTCGTCTCAATTCTGAGGTTGCTTTGTTGATTTTGACATATCAAACATCATATTTAGCAAGCAGTTGGTCGTTTATATTGTAATTTAGATCTTGAAATAGTTTTCAATGTTCACAGTTGGACATCACTTTAAAATCTAGATCCAGAAATATTTGTCAATATCCACGATTGGTCGTCGCGTTGAAATTTACATTCTGAAGTATTTGTGAATTATCACAGGATCCGGCCAACTGGAATTCGAGGAGTTCTGTACGCTGGCAGCTAGATTCTTGGTGGAGGAGGATTCGGAAGCGATGCAACAGGAATTGCGTGAAGCGTTCCGGTTGTACGACAAAGAAGGGAATGGGTACATCACAACCGCCGTGTTTCGCGACATTTTGCACGAACTGGACGACAAACTGACACCGCAAGAACTCGACATGATGATCGAGGAAATCGACGCTGACGGCTCTGGAACTCTGGACTTTGACGGTTAGCTTGCACGGCGTACCCTAGAATTTTCATAACACGTCCATCAAACTAATTACTAACGCGACCAGGGAAGCCGCGTGCCAAGAACAACTAACACAGGAAGTCGTATTGCACGTTGGAAATTACAGGGGACGTCTACCGCGGCTTGCCAACAATCTATCAGTTCTCGTTAATTGATTAACACGTGTCGTGCTCGGAGCAGAAGAATAACGTCTTGTGGTCGTTTCGGATTTCCGATAGCCTACAGGGTCGCTCGAGGCAAACACGCGAAACATAGCACTGTCTATTTATAATCAATATCAATTATCTGTCCAAATAACTAACAACTTCCATTATCAATGATGTCACAGTTAGTGAGATCAGTGTGCACGATCTTGGTATTTCCATTGATTTTCCACTCTTTCGATGTCTCCTGTATTTGAGATCCTTAGCGTTTTGTTTATGCTATCACTTTGAGGCATATTCAACGAAAGCTCTTACGTTTCACTGCTTATAAATTAAAACAACCTACTTCCAAAAGTATAGACCCATAGTTGACTTGATTTCTCAAGTTAGGTTCGAAGGTTTCGAATATTGACTGGCTTGAAATCTTGCAACTGCTTAAATCTAATGCTTCTCCTTAAACAGTTGGGCAATTTATCCTGTTTTATTTAATGGTGGCTTCATATTCTCGTATTGATCGGTTTCAGAGTTCATGGAAGTCATGACGGGAGGTGACGATTAGATCGTAAGGTTAATCATCTGGGTGGACAAAGGCTACTAATTGAACACTATCGACGCAAATGCTCTTTGCACTTTTCTTAGAGACGAAGGGCAGAGAGTACAATAAATGTCGATGTCTGTCACGGCAAACGCACTAGTATTACTTCATCGAATGATCAGCGTTGTAAATAAACGCTGTACAACAATGCTTTGTCGTAAAAACTGTGCTCCGGGTGATGAAGTTCAATAAAAGATCATTGACTTGAAAAAGACTTTTTCTTAATAAAAACAAATTGCCATATAAGCACTGATTGAACAAACTATCATCTTTCCTGTAACCCCGAAAACACTGATACGCGATTGTGGCATTGGTTTGGCGCCTAATCGAGGCAACCCAGTGTTCGTTTCCGCGCGAAGTGAAAAGTATCCACGGTGCAATGCAGCATAGTAAAAGTACCGGAAAATGTGGAATAAAATTAATTAATTGCTTCCTCGATCCCAAGATCTTAAAAACTTTCAAATCTGTCTGAATAATACGTGGAATGATTTATTATCGATAAGTATCTACATAATAAAATGAATCCTTTATTCAAGGAACTTGTTATTATAGACAATTTTGCACAATTTCTGCAACTACGTTTCCTTGCCAGAGTTACCAGATAAGTGTCTTTTAAATGAATCGTGAAAAGTTAACGTTCCATTTACTTGCAAACTGGGATAATAATAATAAACTCAGCAATAAATAACGATTAAGAAAATACTTCCGAGGTGCAATAAGACATTAGAAAATATCAACATTCTTGGCAGCCATTCGTTCGCGTCGTGTCTACAAGTGGAACTTTAATTTTCCATTCACTCTTACGAAAAGTGCACCTGTATGCTAATTTGATAAATTCCTGCTACTCTACGCGTCAATGCTGGTTTCTTTGTTCAGGCCCGTTTGTTTAGTCTGTAGATCTCGTTTGTAGATCTAATTATTTCTTCGACGATCGCGACAACGAGAGCATAGGAACATCTGAGAGCCTTTCATTCGACGATGCTTTCGGCATTTGTCTTGTCAGAATAATTATTTTAAGAACGTGGCACGTCAATGTACTATCAAGAAATAGAATCGTAAAATCGTCGCAAAAATGTGCCACTGACAGAAAAGTTACTGGCTTTAGTGTCTATTTACGAACCCTATGATTTCCTCGATCTGTCGTCGAACGATTCTATCACAAAGTTAATGTTCTGTGTACCCGATACACCGGCCAAATTTTCAAATTAGAAGCGTGCCAAATAGAAATAAGCACGAAAATCCACGGTTCGCTTAGTTTATGATTTGTTTTACTATGTGACACGAATAAACAATTTAAAAAACATTCTTCTTTGACCGCACAGTAGGCATTGAAATCAACCAAAGGAAACTAGACAAAGCGAGACGTATAAAAATTAATTTTGTGTGCTAATAAAGTGACCGTGAAATCCAGGACAGAATGTTTACAACCGAAAGAAAAAGTGATTTACGTAAGAAACAAAATCGTGATTGTACGCAATCTAAAATATTTGTGTAAATACGAAAACGTAAAAATGTAACGCGTAGTGAAAAAAGTATAAATGAATAACAATTGTACCGAGACCATGCGGCGTGGTTCTCGCCAGTGAACATTACAAAACGAATAAGGAAGCTAGTGGCGACTGGCAGATTATCAACTGAAATTATGGAGAGAACAAATGGTGGTATTATACGAAGTACTTAATTTTTTACTGTTCAACTGAGAGATAATGACACGATCCTCTTTGTTCCTAATGTGCACCATTTCAGAAATGGATCTTGATTGATGGTGATTAATTTCGTTGTCAAGAATGTTGGGATTCTCTCGTTCCATTTCGTGGTTAAAACTATTACAGTGTTCAGTTGTGACATAGTTCAAGCTATTCCTGACATTGTAGGCGTGTTCCTCACAGCCTGGCCAATGTAAACATAATTGCAATTTCTGCAATTAATTTCTTCTTACAAAGAATTCTATATCTTGAGTGATATATTAAAAATTCAGAGGTGTCCTGTCATTATCTACCAAACTTTCATTACCCTTGCAATCAGTAAAACGCATTCCTAATATTTGTCTCCTTATTCCAGGAGCATCCAGTATCAAAGACAACAATCAACTTCAAAGGTTTCACTTCTGAAATTGTCGACGAGTCATCGTTCATATTTGATTAGATCCACATCTGGTATCCCGGGCGGCGTTCGAGATTTCGCATTGGAATTTCCTGTCGGAGATTGAAAGGAGCAATCACGAGCAGCTCGGCGAACGGAATTGGACCGACAGAAGTCATACCAAATCGGGCATCTGAAATGTCCAGAGATGTCATTATATCACGGCAACTCCCACGTAGCCAAGTAATCAACTTCGAATGAAAATGGTTAGTCCGGACCCAATAGTGTTAGCTCTATATTCGGTACACTCGGCCAATTGGGGTGCCTTTCCAGCAACATTATCATAGAAAACGAAACTAGGAATTTCGTAACCGCGAGTATGGGAATACGATAGTTTGTCGAAAATCAAATTCGTCTCCTACACCATATCCACTTTCCTATTCTCCGAAATTAATGAAAACTTCGATTTGGAAGCAGCAGACTAAATTTGATATTACAAAGATATTTTGTGAAAAACGTGTACAATCGATTAATAATTGCGATAAATCAGTCTGCAAGTCCGTTTGTTTCGTAATTCTTTCTTTTCACGAGGATTCGAAGCAAGGACAAACCTGTTCGAAATTCAGAATGAATCTGTGTTTGTGAAATTAAATGTAGGACAGTGACTCCCTGTGGAAGGATTGACGTATATGTTGCGACAAGGCACAATTACCAGTGATTGTTAAATTAGATGTTGGCCAATGCCACCCCTATCAAAAGATCGACACACATATTGGATCAAGGCATAGACACCTGTGATTGTTAAATTGGATGCTGACCAGAGTCACCCCGTCAAAAGATCGATACACTTATTGGGTCAAGGCATAGTCACCTGTGATTGTTAAATTAAATGTTTACCAGTGCCATCTTGAATAAAAATTTACGTACATGCTGGGGTAAAAATAAATGTTAATCAGTACCTGCTCGTCGAAGGATTGACGTGTAATTTGGAACAAGGCACAGTCGATTGCGATTGTTAAATTAAATGTTCACCAATGTCACACGGTCGAAAGATTGATGAATATCTTGCAACGAGACACGGTCATCTGTACTAGTTAGAATAAACGTTAATCAATGCTTGTTCGAAGGAACGACTCGTAATTCGTGGCAAGGCACAATTTAATTGTAAAAATAAATGGTAAAAATAAACGTTAATCGGTGCCTGCTCGTCAAGGATGCTTGTGCTAGTTGAACTAAATATTGATCAGTGCCTTTTCGTGGGAAGATTGACGCAAATATGGCGACAATACGAAGCCTTCTAGACGTTCGTTGCGAAATGATAATTCACAATAATTATGCGTGACGCTGCGAGGATACTAATTCGGCTCGTCCTATGATTAGTGCTAATGAAGTTACGTGAAATATAGAACAATCACCAAAGGGCTAAAGATTAAGACCGGTTGTTATTTTACGCAAGTTGTCCATCAATATCCAGTTCGTATATAGGATATTAGAATTGAAATGTCAGCTAACAACGCGTCTAAGATAGGGAGAATTATTTATGAGGCAATAGGCAATATTAAAATAATTTAGAGACATTGAAATATTGATGAAGGATTAAAATAGTTACCCTATTCTTTCTCGACAAGTTACGTTTAGAAATTTTGAAATTCATTTTAATTTTAACTGAATTTAGAGAAAGCATTTTCGACAGCTGTTTTCCTTCGCCTTCAATCAAGGATCCAAAGCTGTTAAAGTCACTCGAGCCATTTGTACCGAGTACAAAGAACGACCTCACAGACATTTTGCGTTCCGGCCAAATTGCTGAGTCTGACAAGGAAGGTGAAAAGGAACAGGTGTCGGAAATGCTTACCTTTGTCGACTTGGCACTCCATTGCTGTGTGGTTAAATTCAGTTAAAATTAAAACGAACTTCAAAATTTTTTAATGCGAATTGTGGAAAAGAAATAGAATTTTTAAAAAACCACATCATTTACTAAATAGTACTTTGGAACTATTTTGCACTGAATAAATAGCAGATCTTTAGTAATATCTGATTAGTAATAAGTTAAAGTTTCAGACACTTGTATACTTCGTATAAATCGCTGCGATCGAATCGATAAATGCAAATTGAATTAATCTATTAGGAATAATTACCGAGTTTCTCGCGCGAAAATCGCCCGTTGTCACGGCACTGCCGAACGTCGCATTAATTCTTTAATTTACGTTTCCATTGGCGAACCCGTTTGTCGGATAATTTCGATACTGGATACGCAATTCGTGATATTTTCAACGAAAGAAATTCGCCTTTCACTGGTCAAGCTTGACTAGCTGGCACTCGCACACTTGCCATTAAAATCTACATTGTACGGACCAGGTCGTAGGAAACAAGTGACATTAATTACGGCGAATGTGGTCTTTATTAATATTTTGTGATCAAGATAAGTCCAGAAGACGGGCGTTAAAAGTATCTCGACTCAGACTGCAAAACATTGAAAAGAATATAGTAAACGTTTTTCAAGAGTGGCTTGTTAATTTCATGTTCTTTAATTATGTTTAGATCATTACTGCTAACACGGATACTGTAATTGTCGTATATAAAATGCAGTCGACATTAAGTTCCAATTATATGTTGTATTTATGCTCCGAGGAAGCCGTAGGAAATTATACAGTTTTAAAAGGTGACCGTCCAGTTGGAAAATTAATACGCGTAAGCGTTTTCGACTAAGGAGCAGCGCTTCCAGGAGATTACTTATTGTCACGCAACCGAAGTACATACGTACGAGCGTGTTGAGTTTCGCGATACATATCACCGGAGGCACCTGTAATTAATTGCTAATCGATGCTACGATTTTGCACTTGCATAGAACGAGGCAAGGTAATTTCACCAATGAGCGTAAACTATCTTTGTTGAGCTGTTTCTGAATACGAGGGCCACGCGATTCTGACACGGAAAACATCACGCATGGATCGCTCTGACTACGATATTTTCATTTTATTAAATGAACGCGTCGAACGTTAAAGATTTACTTAATCGGCATTAAATTCTGGAATTCGACTCCTGTATTAATAACAAAAATTATTAAGATATTCACAGAATCATACAAATGGTAACAGTGAAAATATATAAATTCTTAGTAATATTAGTCACG